AATTTCTCATCTGAAAGTATAGAAACCAGGAAGAAGTCCCAATACATCTGCAAGTGTGGAAAGAAAAGAAATATCAACCCAGAACCCCTATATCCACTGAAACTATCCTTCAGAAAAGAAGGGAAACTGAAGACATTCTTGGGTAAAGGGAAGCTAAGGGGATTTGCCACCAACAGATCAACCCTTGAATAATACCTAAAGGAAGATTTCTAAACAAAAATAAAATAATAACAGAAGGTAGATGAGGGCTTCAGTAAAGGAAAAAGCAGAATGGGTAAAAATAGAACTAGGCATAAGAGACTATTCTTCATTCTATAAATTTCTTAAAATATATTTTGTTTGAAACAAAAATTATAACACTACTTGATGTGGTGGTCAATATATGAAGACAAAATATTAGATAAAATTATGTTTAAAAAGTGGAAAGAATAAAGAGACATAAATGGGCAGTTGCTCACACCTGTAACCCCAGCACCTTAGGAGGCTTAGGTGGGAGGATGGCTGAGCCTAGGAGTTCAAAACCAGCCTGGACAAAATAGCAAGATCTCGTTTCTACAAAAAATAAAAAACTTTGCCAGGAATAGTGGTGGACACCCATAATCTCAACTACTTGAGAGGATGAGGAAGAAGGATTGCTTGGATCTCTTGAACCCAGAGTTTGAGACTGTGGTGAGCCGTGATCATGCCACTGCACTCTAGCACAGGCAACAGAGTGAGTTTCAAATGAGAGAGAGAGAGAGAGAGAGAGAGAGAGAGAGAGAGAAAGAGATAGAATCAGAGAAATGAAAATAAGTTTTTTACACTTAGCAGAAGTGGGGAAACTTTGATATTAGTGAGTTGTGGTAAGTTATGTATATATCCTGTAATATCTAAAACAAGAACTAAGAAAATTATATAAAGATACATGTTCAAAACATTATAAATAAATAAAAATGGAATTTGTAAAATGTGCAAGTAACCTACAGAAATGCAAGAAAAAAATGGAGGAAGAAGCCAAGAGAACAGACAAAAAAACAAACGCTAAAATGGCAGACTGAGACTCTAACATATGAACAATTATTTTACATGTGCATATAATATAAATATACCAATTAAAAGGCAGATATTGATAGAATGGATTTTAAAAATAACCCAATTATTTGCTGTGTAAAAGAAACTACAAAAGAAGTAAGATTTGTAATTTGAAAATTGCCAAAGGAAACCTACACAGGACCATGTGGTTTCACTAGAAATTTTATTAAATATTTTGAAAAATAAATAGCATTTGAATACAAACATTTTCAGAAAATACAAAAGGAGGTATACTTCCTTATATTATGAGGCTCATATTACTCTGATACCAAACCCAGATAAAGACATCACGGAAGGAAGGAAGGAAGGAAGGAAGGAAGGAAGGAAGGAAGGAAGGAAGGAAGGAAGGAAGGAAGGAAGGAAGGACCTAGAATTAGAAAACTTGAATTTTTTTTTTTGAGTTGGTATCTTATTCTGTCACCCTGGCTGGAATGCAATGCCATGCTCATGGTAACCCCAACGTTGACCTACTGGGCTCTGGAGATCCTTCCACCTCAGCCTGCCAAGTAGCCAGAACTACAAGCGTGCCACTACCACACCCAGCTAATTTTTTATTTATTGTAGAGACAAGGTCTCACCAAGTTGCCTGGGCTGGTCTCGAACCCGCGGGCTCAGGCAATCCACTCACCTTGGCCTCCCAAAGTGCTGGGATTACAGGTTGAGAAAATTTGGATTTTTAAGCCTAAGATTGCTATTTACTTTAATTCTTGTAGATTTCACTCTCCTCATTCAAAAAATGACAGAAATGTTTTCAAACTCTTGCAGCCACAGCATCTTTGCTTCAACTGAAATTGCATGTAGAAGTTCAAAATCATAAGTGGAACAGCTCGGTTTGAACCAGACCTAATGGGCCTTACATTTGCCTAGGTAACATTCCCTTCTCAACTTCACATGGTCTCTAAGTCTCTCTCCTAGAACACTCAAGGAGAATAGCTACAGGAGTAGGTCATCTCTAAGGTCTTTTTCAGTCTAGAACTTTATGATTCTCCCACTGTAATAACCTCAATAAGTCACTTAGAACACAAAGGACTGTGTTTAGTCGATTTTATATAACTTTTACACCCTTTAGACAATTTTTAAAAAGGAATCTCACCACTCAACTTTACTGCAAGGACATGCTGACCATGGAGGTGGGTACCTGGTAGGTAGTGAGTGAATGAGATAACATATTGCAGCGACTAGCTCCAAGTAAATCCACTTTCTGACAAACATCCATCTTTAATTTGTCAAAAGAAGCTTTGCTATTTCTCACTTGGATCTGTACCTGCAACAAAAGTTATTACCAATAATACAGATATAAGTATAGCATACAGGTTCATAATAAATATTTTTAGACATAAATTTCAACAAAGAAAACTAATTCCTTTTCTCTGTATTATTAATATTTCATGAGTAATAATAAAGATTTTTGGCTATTTAAAAACACTAAAAAAGTAATTATAGAAGATTCTTTCCAGTGGTTTTATCTTTATGCTGAGAAAGTATGAGATGGCAGATGAAAAGTCTATACTTTTTAAAAAAGAATTCCAAATAAAAAGAAACATCAAAACTATTCATGGATAGTGTTTAGCTAAGAGCAGAATAAATGAAAAGGGGACCTAGTTAAAATGTTGAAAAATAATAATAATATTTCTGAATCATGGAAATATTTATAAATTTTAATAGAGGCCTACTATATTTCTTGGATATATGGTGAGCTATATGACATCAGGTAATGTGAATACTTAACTTTTAAATATATTCATTCATTCAACAAATATTTATAAGGTACCTATTATGTGTAAGCCACCGTTCTAGGCACTGGGATATTGTGGTGAGCAAAATAATGTTCTTTCCCACCATCTTCCAGTAGGGAGGAACAGGAAAAAAGAAGTAAATAAATATATAAGATAATCTCAAGTTGCAAAAATAGCAAGTAAGTAAACAGAAACAGAAATAAAATCATCATAGAAGCCCTTGGTGAGATCATGCATGATATTTGAACTGGGACAGAACGATGATGGGCAAGCCATGCTAAGACCCTGGGGAGAGCATGTCTGGACCAGGGACAAGTAAAGACAAAGGTCCTGAGATGAACAAGAAGGAAGAGGGTAGAACATATCCTTCCTGGAACATAGGAAGCCAAGTATGAAATGAGTCTGCAGAAAGACCAGGGATCAGCTCATGTATGGCTTTTTGGGTCCAGATAGGAATTCTAAAAATTGAGGTGAAATTCCAATAGCACAAGGAAGGGATTGGCAGTCATGGGACACTGCCAGGGGAGGGGGTGGGCACGTAACAACACAAAGCGTACCTGGTCCTTTAAACCAGGGGAAGTGAGGACCAGCTGGAGGCCCAAACTTCACCTGCATGTAGACTACTTATCTGCTTATAATCCTGACTTGTACCCCACATCTTTAAAATAAAATAAAGTATTAAGAAATTGGGGTGAAATTCACATAATACACACTTAACCATTTTGAAGTATACAATTAAGTGACGTTTAGTGCATTTACAATGTTGTGCAACCACTCCCTTGGAATGTACTCTCATTGCCAAAGATTAAAGGGAGCCAGGTATATTAGCTCACACCTGTAATCCTAGCACTTTGGGAGGCAGAGGTGGGGGGACTGCTTGAGCCCAGGAGTTCAACACTAGCCTGGGTAACACAGTGAGACTCCCATCTCTACAAAAAAAAAAAAAAAAAATTTAGCCAGGTGTGGTGGCATGCATCTGTAGTCCCAGCTAATTGGGAGCTTGAGGTAGAAGGATCACCTGTGTCTAAGAGGTTGCGGTTCTAGTGAGCCATGATCATGCCACTGCACTCCAGCCTGGGCAACAGAGTGAGAACCCAACTCAGAAAGAAACAAAAAAACCCCCAAAATTAAAGGGGATGGAATAAGATGTTGCTGTGGCCTGATGCCATGTATTCATCTACCTTTTAGGGCTGTTGTATGTGATCAGTGAGACAAACCATTTACAACAGCTGGCACAAGGTAAAGTGTCCAAAAATATTAAATATTATGATATTTTATTATGGGTTCTCTAAATATTTATGAAATGAATGAGTAAACGAGTTTTATTATTCATATATGGTAAATTTAGGGAATATAATTTATAATAAAGAGTTTATATAGTAAAAGTATATGTCCATATATAGATAGTTGCTTACAAAGTTTATGGCCAAACTTTGTATTGTGGTAGAATAAAAACTTTGATAATCTTCAATTTTTCTTATAATTAATAATCAGGAACTACAGGCGCATGCTACCACACCCGGCTAATTTTTTTTATTTATTGTAGAGATGAGGTCTCGCCTGCCCAGGCGGGTCTCGAACCCACTGGCTCAGGCAATCCACTCACCTCAGCCTCCCAAAGGCACGGGATTACAGGCTGAGCCACCGAGCCCGGCTAGTTTTTTTTTTTTAATTGGAGTCTCACTCTGTCACCCGGGCTGGAATGCAGTGGCACACTCACAGTCACCCCAGTGTCTACCTGCTGGGCTCAGGCAATCCTTCTAAGTAGCTGGAACTACAGGCACATGCTACCATGTCCAGCTAATTTTTTGATTTATTGTAGAAATGAGGTCTCACCAAGTTGCCCAGGCTGTTCTTGAACCCATGGCCTCAGGCAATCCCCTCACCTTGGCCTCCCAAAATGCTGGGATTACAGGATTGAGCCACCGCACACAGCCCACATGAGTTTTTAACTTAAATTACATTTTTTTTTGTCCCTCAGTAATAAACTACTTTCCTTCTGCAAACAAATCTTAAAAGTAAAAAAAGTAAAAAGTCATATTTTAAAAGTAATTAGATCTATATGTGGATAAAAATAATAATAAAAAAGGTTAATAGTGCAGAGATGCCACTCAAACAGTAAAAATAAAAGTGTGAGAACCTTTTTTTTATTTCAACTAAAGTCTCCAAGCAACCAATAATTTAAAATAAAACATACACTTCTCAAAAATAGCCTGACATTATCTTGATTACTCTGTGGTAGCTCCATATTTTATGCGTGAAGAGAAGGAAGAAGATACATCTTCATACTTTTCTGAACTTTTCCATCTGTTCTGAGGTGTCTGGGTCCAGTTCCTGGGATGCATCTTTCATCCACAGCAGAGCCCCTCTGTACTCTGTGCGTGCCTGCTCCATCCTATTAATCGTAATCAAGGTGTCAGATACCGCCCTTTGACTGAATGTTGCTACTTCTTGCTTAAGACGAGACAGGGGAGTACACAGGGCCAATCTAATAGCAGAGAGGTAAAAATCAGAGGGGCGTACATATTATAAACAAAACAAAACAAAGGTTTAAACCAATTATAAAGCATATTTTCTATCAAGATGAGTGTACAAATAAAAAGTTATTAAGATGCCTAAGGAGATTTAGAAAGCAAATAAGGATCATATAGCCAACTCTGATTATTAACAAAGATGTGTCTATATCTCCCCCATTTTTCACTTTAGGAAATACATCACTTTTGCAAAACCTTGGATGTTCATTCATGTATAAATAAGCTGCCAAGTAAATCTGCCATTGAAAAAAGAGTTCTAAGGGTAACAAAGAACTTGCATTCAAAAAGCATAATCCAATTAAAAGAAAACCTTTCATTTGACAGGTTTGGGGAAAACCTGGGTTTAGAAGAGCAGATAAAATGCTAGAACTAATGAGTATGGCGTTCTTAGCTGCTGAAGGTAAGGACAAGATAACAAGTACTTCAGAAACACAAATCAAATCCAGCTCCTCTGCTCTGCTTTTGACTTAGTGACCTCGGAGGGCCCTGTACTGAGTACCTCTTTGTCACTTCCTTCAAGATAGACTTTTGCACTGAGGTGATATTTTGGAATAAAGCCACCTAAGCTGGACATCATCATTACAGGTCTGATAAGGACTTTTTATTTTTCTTCTGAAATGCAAAGATTTGGGCTGGATTTAGTAATTACAGGAGATTCTTTGCAGCAGGCATCTTTACATTTTTAAAAAATTGTGAAATAATAAATGAAAAGTATGTAATTAAGAATAAAAAATTTCTAAGGGTCTTGATCTCAAACCAGGCAAAGTGGGGACCAAAGGGAGGCCCAAACTTTACCTGTACAATGACCACTTGTATACCTAATGCTAAATTGTACCCCACATCTTTAAAATACAAAAGAAAGAGTAAAAAATTTCTTCCATTTAAAAAGTACCAATATACTTATAGACAGTATAGTATCAAAAAAGTGAAATTTAAAAATTAAAATACACATTTTTAAGATGCTAGTCATTCTGTGACTGTTACATTAAATTGCTTAAGAAATATTAATATGGTCCTAAAAACTATTTTTTTATCAGCCCACATCATGCTTTGAATAAAGGCTATTTCTAGGAGTTAATCAACCAAGAACATCAATCTTTCAGTAATTATTTTGAATACAAAATTAATAATTATGAGTTAGGCATCAAAACAATCATAAACTGTAATATATTTCTCTTTTCTTTAACTCTTTATTGGAATGATCAATGACCTTTACAAATATACAAACATAAGTACATATGCCAAAACTGTCATATATTGACTACAGATTGAAGGATGAAAAACCATGGTGAACCTTTGCTTGGCTGAAGAACAGAGTGCCTTGCCAGTGGCATCCATCATTTTGCCAGCTTGACTTACATCCCGTTCTGCTTGAAACTTTAAAAAGAGCCCTAGTTCATTTTCTTCCTCTGACATAACTAGGAAAAAAAATTACAGTGTATTAATTGTTTCATTTTACCATTTATTTAAAACACATACAACTAAAATTCTCACAGCAATGATTATACTAAGATATACTTAGGGGACGGGAAGAAGTGGAGAGACTTATTTTTCAAATGTAAATTCCTGGGTTCCATTTCCAGAGATTCTGATTTAATAGGTCTGAGGAGCTGGTTTTTTGTTTTGTTTTCTTTTTTTAGGGACAGAGTCTTCTTGCTCTGTCACCCAGGATGGAGTGCAATGGTGGGATCATAGCTCACTGCAACATCAAACTCCTAGGCTCAAGTAATCCTCCTGCCTCAGCCTCCTGAGTAGCTGGGAATACAGGTATGTGCTGCTAATATTTTCAATTTTTGTAGCGATGAGGTCTCACTATATTGCCACTTCTGGGTTACAGTGATCCTCCTACCTCGGCTTCCCAAAGCACTGGGATTATAATTATGAGCAACCACACACGGCTGGGATCTGGTTTTCCACAAGCACTCCAGATAGTCTGTATGCAGTAAATCTATGGATCTCGCTTTGGGAAAGACTGATCCTTAGTGACAAACAACCCTCAAAGCTATGAAATTTTAAAAAGTCACAAATAATGCATTCTCCAAATATATTTTAGGATCTTTGCCTCTTACAAATATTTGTTTCCTATTTAAACTTGTTAACTTATTCTTAACTCCTATCCTGGCTTCAGTTTCTTATACTCAGTATCCTAGACCCACATTGTCCACAATTCTGCTCCAACAACCCTCAAAGTTGTCACCTATTGCACTGCTGCTCAAAGTGTGGGCCATAAACAAGTGTGGTCCAGAATCTTCCATTACTAGCCTGTGACAAAATAGTAAAGAAACTGAAATAACTATGTAGAGATTTTTATCAATTTGACTGAGCATTTTATATTTATTGACTCTAATAATACAAAAGTGACTTACATGTTTCATGCATTTGATTTCCTTTTTAAAAATTTTCCTTTTTTTGCCGGGCTCGGTGGCTCAGCCTGTAATCCCGCGCCTTTGGGAGGCTGAGATGAGTGGATTGCCTGAGCCCGCGGGTTCGAGACCCGCCTGGGCAGCAAGACCTCATCTCTACAATAAATCAAAAAATCAGCCGGGCGTGGTAGCGCATGCCTGTAATTCCGGCTACTTGGAAGGCTGAGGCGGAAGGATCGCCGGAGCCCAGCAGGTTGAGGCTGCGGTGGCCGGGAGCGGCCACTGCACTCCAATCTGGGCAACAGAGTGAGACTCCAACTCAAAAAAAAAAAAAAAAATTTTTTTTCTTTTTTTCTTTTTTTTTGGGTAGAAATAAGGTCTTACTCTGTTGCCTAGGCTAGAATATAGTAGTGCAATCATAGCTCACAGCAGCCTTGAACTCAAACTCCTAGACTCAAGTCACCCTGCTGCCTCAGCCTCTTAAGTAACTGGGACTACAGGCATGCACCACCATGCCTGGCTACTTTTTAAAAATTTTTAGTAGTGACAGGGTCTCACTATGTTGCCCAGGCTGGTTTTGAAATCCCATGCTCAAGTGATTCTCTGCCTCAACCTCCCCAAGCACTGGGATTACAGGCATGAGCCACAGCACCCAGCTAAAAACTCATCTGTATTGAATTTTCAAAAGTGTCAGTTTACAGCAGATTGAAAGTAAACCACAAATCACAAATGCCCTTCACCATAGTTTAAGAAACACTATTGTGTAAGGTGACCCTCTAACCACAGTAAGACTAATAAGGGAGAAAGCCAATATAGTGTTCCAACTGTAAGCTTACCATAAACAAAATGACAGCAACGAAGGCCTATTTTCACCCTAGTTCATGTGCAGCACTGGAGCCCAGGCCTTCTCACTTGCTGTCTGCCCAACCCCCACTCCTTCCTGTGGTGCTTACAAGAGTGACCCAAGGAGAGCATGATAGTGTTAAGGGAGAGTGTCTCTACACTCTGTGATACCATCTTTAATAAAACCACGTGCTATATTATGAACTAACCCGATCCAGAAGAGATGGGATCTGGGGAATCCTGTTAATTTAACATTTTGATTACTTGAGAAATACCTAGATTATACATTTCCTTTGAGTCAGGATATACCTCAATGGAAACTACTAGAAAAATATTCATTTGTGTATGATGATTCAGAAAGCCCTCTGAGAACTTGAAATACTTAATTATTCAGTATCGACTGAACGTGAATCATCAATGAGCCTAACTTTTATCAGTGCAGTAAGGGCAGGAGATGAGGCTGAATCTGTGCTGCTTCTATGTTGGAACACACCTGCCAAAATCTATAGACCCTACCCTGATGTGTTCTTCCCCCAGTCAAGTGATTCCCATAAAGATTTATGGCACTGGACTAACCTACTGTATTTGTCTGATGTTATTCCCAACAGAAGATGTATTAATACAATAGTCTAAGAAATCACACATTTATATACAATCTCGAAGCACACAATTAAATCTATATATCTGTATCTCTTCCTTTTCCAGAAATGTTCCACAAGAGCACTAAAAGATCTAATGATTTCAAGGCAAAATCACAAAAACTCGCCAATGTCTCTTCGCATTTCCATTTCTATCACAGGACTCCCTTGGTCCAATGATTGCGATGGCCTTTTACCTCTTGATAAAATATTTAATCTTCTCAGTAATCTGACCCAAAATTTCCTTTGTTCCTTTACCCTTCCATTAGTTTCAGTGACAAACTCTACTGTTCATGCAGACTGTTCTTTAGAGTTATTCCCCAGACTCCAAATCTCTCCTTTTCTTCACATATATCAACTTCTATAAACCCTTTAAGTTTTACCTAATTTCCCATATATGAACTCACGTGTCAGTTACTCTAACCCACAGTCATTTTTCACTCCTGGAAATTCAGAGTTATGTCTATATCATTATTTTGAACTCAACTATATACTATTTGTACTTTCTCTTATTTTGTTACAAAACGTTGTTTCTCCAACTATTTCTTTGGGAAAAGCACACAGCCTTGTACATAGCAGGTACTTAAAAATACTTGAACAATCATGCTTTATTGGATTTCTTTCTATAATGGGACAGTATATAAGATTTGATTACAGTGATAAGATTTTTTTTTTTTTTTTTGAGTTGGAATCTCACTCTGTTGCCCAGACTGGAGTTCAGTGGCCGCTCCCGGCCACCGCAGCCTCGACCTGCTGGGCTCCGGCGATCCTTCCGCCTCAGCCTTCCAAGTAGCTGGAACTATAGGCGCATGCTACCATGCCCAGCTGATTTTTGATTTATTATAGAGATGAGGTCTCGCCAAGTTGCCCAGGCGGGTCTCGAACCCATGGGCTCAGGCAATTCACTCACCTCAACCTCCCAAAGGCGTGGGATTACAGGCTGAGCCACCCGAGCCTGGCAGTGATAAGATTTATTTACAAAGTTACACAAGAAAATCATTCATTCATTGATCAAATATTTATTGAATATTGACTACATGAGAGACATTGTTTCTAGACTCAGGATAAATTCTGTTCTGAAGGAGAGCATATCCTAGTGTTGGGAATAAAAACAATAGATAAAATATAGAATGTTGAATATTGTTAAGTGGACAGGGAGAGGAGTATTATATTTTAGATATGCAGTTCAGGGAAAGCTTTATAAAAGATGACATTTGACCAAATACCTAAAATAGGTTGGGGACCCACTATGCAGATACACATGCTGTTAAGAGATTAACATAGCCAAAGAGGAAAGGGTTTTAGGAGATGTGATCAGAGAGAAGCAGTCCAGTATGCCACTATAATTAAGGCAGGAGAAGAGATTCAAACGTTGAGTTTCAACCAGAAGAGGTCAAAGAGAGAGGGGGATCAGCAAAAGCAAGTTGAGGAAAACCAGGAGGAAGAAAACGAAGGAAGCCAAGGAAGGAAACTACATCAAGGAGAAGGAAATAAACAACTATGCTAAATAATGTGACAAGCCAAATAAGGACTGAGAATTGGTCACTGAATTGGCTCCTTCATCATTTTGACAACAGAAATTTGGTGGAGTGCTGGGGATTAAAATTTGATTGGAGCAAGTACAAGAGAAAGTGGAAGAAAAGGAATGAAGACCATGCATACAGAAAATTATGTCAAAATTTTCTGTAAAGAACAGAGAAATAGAATTTAATTGCAAGGGCAAGTGGGGATCAAGAGAAAGAGTTGTTTTTTTTTTTGAGTTGGAGTCTCACTCCGTCGCCTAGACTGGAGTGCAGTGGCTGCGCCTGGCCACTGCAGCCTCGACCTGCTGGGCTTCAGTGATCCTGCCACCTCAGCCTTCCAAATAGCCAGAATTACAGGCATGTGCTACAACACCCGGCTGATTTTTTTATTTATTGTTGAGATGGGGTCTCGCCGAGTTGCCCAGGCGGGTCTCGAACCCGTGGGCTCAGGGAATCCACTCACCTCAGTCTCCCAAAGGCGCGAGATTACAGGCTGAGCCACCAAGCCCGTCTACAAGAAAGAGTTTTTAAGTGATAAAAGCAAAGCCATTTAAGACCTTAGGCAGAAAAATGGAATATTAGCAAAATAAATCTGTGTCAGAAGATTTCATAAACTGAGAGAAAAAGAGATGGACACTGGGGACTTTAAGAAGAGATCACAGCCGGGCTCGGTGGCTCAGCCTGTAATCCCGCACCTTTGGGAGGCTGAGGTGAGTGGATTACCTGAGCCCGCGGGTTCGAGACCCGCCTGGGCAGCGAGACCTCATCTCTACAATAAACCAAAAAATCAGTCAGGTGTGGTAGCGCATGCCTGTAATTCCGGCTACTCGGAAGGCTGAGGAGGAAGGATTGCCGGAGCCCAGCAGGTCGAGGCTGCGGTGGCTGGGAGCGGCCACTGCACTTCAGTCTGGGCAACAGAGTGAGACTCCAACTCAAAAAAAAAAAAAAAAAAAGAACAGGTCACTATAAATATTCAAATTTTTCCAAAATAAACTATTGACAAAATAGTTCTATTACTTTTACATTAATCTTTTCTTTTTGAAAATAAAAACTAATATTTATTTTAGTGGGCGCTATCAGATAGATATGTATGATATCATACCGTTGAGTCTTAGCTGATATTTCTCGACTATCTTCAGAAGTTCAGTGCATGTCTCTTGAATGGAGTGAAAAACCTTACAATATAAATTAGGACAAGTTAAAGAACCATAAGCAAATAAAAAATATCTGTTATAAACGCTTCAAAAGCATAGTACTTTCTTTTTTTTGAGTTGGAGTCTCACTCCGTCGCCCAGGCTGGAGTGCAGTGGCATGCTCACAACCACCCCAGTGTCAACCTGCTGAGCTCAAGGAATCCTTCCACCTCAGCCTTCCAAGTAGCCAGAACTATGGGCACGTGCTACCACGCCTGGCTAACTTTTTGATTTATTGTAGAGGTGAGGTCTCGCCAAGTTCCCCAGACTGTTCTTGAACATGTGGTTCTCGAACCAAAGTGCTGGGATTACAGGCTTGAGCCACTCCGCCTGGCCAGTATTTTCTTATAAGTATTATGTCCATTTTATAAATATTATGGCTAGTTTCCTTGGCTGTGACATATTTCTTGTTTTTTGGTTTTTTTTTGAGTTGGAGTCTCACTCTGTTGCCCAGACTGGAGTGCAGTGGCCGCTCCCGGCCACCGCAGCCTCGACCTGCTGGGCTCCGGCGATCCTTCCGCCTTAGCCTTCCAAGTAGCTGGAATTACAGGCGCGTGCTACCACCCCCAGCTAATTTTTTGATTTATTATAGAGATGAGGTCTCGCAAAGTTGCCCAGGCGGGTCTCGAACCCGCGGGCTCAGCAATCCACTCACCTCAGCCTCCCAAAGCGCGGGATTACAGGCTGAGCCACCGAGCCCGGCTGACATATTTCAATCATGGTTTCACTTCTGATATAGAAAGCACATTTAGATTTCCTCCATGAGGGTTGGAATCCAATATAAACTGCATCAAATATTGCCAACCACAGATGGAAAGAGTGTAGATAACCTTAGAAAGTGTTAACTCTGAGTCTGGCTTTTCTCCAGAAAAGTATTAGTCTAAGCAAAACAGGTTAGTGAATTTACCACAAAAACTAAGTAAAGATCTGGAAACAGTGACAAGTTCCCTTAGCGTTACATTTGTCACTGAATTCTAAGAAAAATGCTTTTCAACACAAATAGTAAAAGCTTGTTATTTTGTTAGCTAATTCTATATTTGTTATGGCAATGGTATAAGTTTACTTTTTGCAGAATAAAAATACTTAGAGTAAGATCGATTTAGTCAGACCCATATTTTTAAGAATCTCAACATAATAATTATATTCCAAGCATAGCAGAACCCTTGCTTGAAAATATTTGAGAATTATCTTAAACTGGTATATATGTAAACTATATATATATATATAAAATTAGTAAATCCACACTTAAAAATTCAGACTTTTTAATTTACTTACATGAAACTCTCCTTTAGTCTATACGAAACATTTATAGGTTTAAAGTTGTTTCATGTCAATTATTTCTTCTATTTAAAGTGAAAAACAGAGCCATAAAAGGCATTATGAAGTAATTTAATAACTTTATCCCTTAATAGAAGCAAAAACTCTTAATTTGTCTTCATTCAATATTTGATTTTATTTATTTCAGTGAAGTATAAGACTTCACATGAAGGTGCTAAAAAATAGTATGATGTGATAAATAATGAATATATGGTCCTATTTGGGAATTAATTGATTCATTAATATTTAGCTTTAAAACTATGAGTGCAAGAGAAATTAATTCATAATTCATCTAATTTAGTAAGTACTAGTTCTATAAATATCGGTTTGAGAATTATGACCTTCTATCCAGAGCTCTGATTGACAGTTGGATAGAACTAAACATTCTATTAGCAAATCTGCATTCATCATAACAAACTCTTCAATGTGAATGTTTGTTGTGGAGTCCAAAATAATAGCCGGTTATATGCAATACACAGAATGCTCAAGTTTACCTCAAGTTTAGCATCCAGTTCAGCATCAGATGCCATCACATGCTCATCCTCTTTTTTTCCTGTTGCTTTGATAAAGACCTGTTTGGTCTTCCAGTATTTCTTTTGCATTCTGCTGACTACTGACTGGTTATCTTTTGGTCTGGGTTGCCCAAAGGAATCCATGGAGTGACTACGATGAATAGAATAAAATTAAACTTCGTAAAAAAAAAACCTAACAATAAATACATATTTCTCAGTCAATGTATAATCTAACTGGTGAATTGGTAAAGATACTAAATAAAATATTAACGTTCATAGTCAAACATACTTGCTATGTATGGTCTAAATTTATGTTATAATTACAACTTGTACAAGAAACAGGCAAATGATTACTGATACTTATATTAATTTCAGTTAGGTGACAAAGGTAATAAAACTTACATGATTTTGTAATTATGTCTAGAAAAAAGCCTATTTGAATAATCTCTATTTATAGAGCCTCATTAGTTTCTAATTTTTGCCTTTTTAATAATACTGCAAAATGAACAAATTTATGCACACACACAATACTACTATTATTTTCTTGGGAAAACTTCCTATAGTTATAACTATTATGTCAGACAAATATACATTTAATAAGTATTCTCAGATATGCAAAAATTACAGTACATATCCTTTAAAAATCACTCAGGCTGGGCACAGAAGCTCATGCCTGACCTTTGGGAATGTGAGGTAGGAGAATTGCTTGAGGCCAGGAGGTAGAGACAGCCTGGGCAACATAGTGAGATTTCATCTCTACAAAATAATTAGCCAGGCATGGTGACATATATCTGTAGTCCCAGATACTTGGGAAGCTGGGGCAGGATTTTATGAGTTTGAGGCTGTGGTGAGCCATAATTGTGCCAATGCCCTCCAGCCGGAAAGACAGAGTGAGACCCTAACTCAAAAAAAAAAAAAATTGTCACTCAAAGAAATGCTTTAATATCCAGTAGCTTAACAAAAATAAAAACCTTAGGAATAGGGGAGATGTGTTATAAAAGAAATATAGATCATCAGGCATGGTGGCTCACGCCTGTAATCCCAGCATTTTAGGAGGCCAAAGCAGGAGGATTGCCTGAGCCCAGGAGCTCAAGACCAACCTGGGCAACATAGCAAGACCTTGTTTCTATAAAAAATCAAAAACTTAGCTGGGTATAGTGGTGCATGTCTGTAGTCCCAACTATTCAGGAGGCTGAGGAGGGAGGATTGCCTGAACCCTGAAGTTCAAGGCTGTGGTGAGCCATGAACATGTTACTGCACTCCAGCCTGAGTGATAGAGTGAGACCTTGACTCAAAAAGAATAAAATAAAGAAATAAAAATAAAGAAAAAAATTTAAAAAGAAAATTAAAAAATAAAAAAGAAATGAAATATAGATGGATGTTGCAAACTGTAAGCATAAAAATTTATGTCTAAGTAATTATTCTTAATATAGTTAACATGGCTATATAAAGAAAAGCAAATATGAAAAGTATTTCTTTTTTTTTTTTTTTTTGAGTTGGAGTCTCACTCTGTTGCCCAGACTGGAGTGCAGTGGCCGCTCCCGGCCACCGCAGCCTCGGCCTGCTGGGCTCCGGCGATCCTTCCACCTCAGCCTTCCGAGTAGCCGGAATGACAGGCATGCGCCACCACGCCCAGCTATTTTTTTGATTTATTGTAGAGATGAGGTCTCGCTACCCAGGCGGGTCTCGAACCCGCGGGCTCAGGCAATTCACTCACCTCAGCCTCCCAAAGGCGCGGGATTACAGGCTGAGCCACTGAGCCCGGCTGAAAAGTATTTCTTAAGGATATGTAAAAAGAAGGAATAATAATGACTTCACTCTGAATCCCAAATTATTCCAATAAAACAAGAGGAAGGTACTAAAGTATGTGACTCACAACATTCCCAGGTAATCAATAGATTCTATTGCATTCTCCATGTTGGTAAAGAAATAGAGACTCACTCTCTTTTTATTTTGAAGTAATTACTAATTAAATAAAAATAGGATGTCTAATTCCCAAATGACTAGGGGTAAAACAAAACAGAAAAAAAAAATTAGCAAAAGCAAAAGACAGGGTGGGAAAAACAGGAGTATGACAACATAACAAATAGCATAAACCAAGATGATGAAATAAGAACAATTATATGATTTATTAATAGCATGATAAAAGCAAACTTCTTTTTAAATACAAAGAATATCAAATCACAAAAGACAGCAACCAGAATTCAACTATGTTATTTGAGATCCACTGAAAACAAAAGTACACAGAAAGAATAAAAATAAAGGTATGATTTTAAGATATACCAAGTAAATATAAACAAGAATGAAATAAGGATAGTCATATTAATATCAGAAAGAGAAGATTTCAATAAAAAGCATAAAGTTCACAAGGAGGCCAGTTTTCCAGATATCCTCTGGATATTTATCCTTTGGATATTCTCCCAGATTCCTGAGCAGTGTAGATTAGTCACTGTGTAATTGCTGAATATCTTATTCTATCCCAGATAACTTGGCTGGACAAAAATTAGATAGAAAAATAGAAAGAGAATTTAATCTTGTACACAGGGAACTTGGGTTTGATACAAGTATTATATTGTTCTGACACACAGCGAATCTTTGAATAAAACGTGCAGTTTTTCTTTTCCATCTAATCCCTGCTGATTTTGGTTGCTCTCAACTGCTTTCAGTGCCCCCCATCAGCTTCTAGATCTGGATCTTATTACTATTATTGGCATGAGAGTCATTCCAACTATATGACAAACTGCTAATCTCTTCTACTAAGTTGATGTAGGCTTAGGCCCAATCAGTTAAAAGAACAAAATTCTTGGGAATATCAGGAGGGAATACCTCTTTCCTGCATCAACTTCTATATTGACATAACTCAAACAATACACTCCTATCCTCTGAACACTCTTCTCATTGTCTCCTTAGGGGGAGAATAAGTAACCTATCTGATAGGAAATTTGAGAGCAATAAACTTGACTCCTCCTTCCTCTCTGGAAGCTATCTTGCCTGCAGAGAACACACATTCCCTGGCAAGGGGAGAAAGCTTAATCTGCAAAAGGTGAGGTTTGAATGTTTGTATTTTTTTGACTGAGGGTGCTGCTAAGTCTGCTTGCCACTGAGGGTAGGTGGGGCAGAAGACCAAGTCTTACTGGCTTGAGATATCAGATGGCAAAGTTCAAGGCTGGCAGAACTACCAGAAATTTAGGAGGAATAGCCTGGAAAGGAGGGAGTCATAGAAAAGGTGATTCCCAAAATATATATTTCAGGTCCTCCCAAGACCTTGTGGTGATCACTAACTCAATCATGAGATGAGGGAGAGGATCCTGGGAATTCTGGCAGAAAATTGGCCACTGAAAGATGAAATAGTTAAGTGACAATTTCAGCTGTTACCTCTGCAGAGGAGACAGAATTTAGAATTTGAGTTCAGTCAAGTTAACTGGCTTTTAGAATAAAAATTATTTTTCAGAGAAGCAAAATAGAATCCAGGGACTCTCAAATGCATCATTCAAAATGCAAGTATTCAAAACTTTCAGTGGAAATTTTCAGCAAGTGAGCTCAAGATCCTGAAACATTTTTGAAGAATTGTAACAGTATACAAAACATGGCTTTACCAGTACAATCCTGAAGACAAAGCACAATCAGAGCAATGGCTACCAAGAAGCAGAAGTCCAGTCAAGGCAAAAGCAGATCAGTCAAGAGCAAAGATCATGGCAACATTTTTTTAGGGGGATGCTAAAGGCATTTTGCTTGTTAACTTTTTGAAGAACCAAAGAACAACAGCTGCTTATTTTGACAAAGACAAAAATTTCGCAGAAAAATCCCTGGGAAAGTTTCCACAAAGTCCTTTGCCACAATGACAATGCTTCTGCACATTTCTCTCATCAAACAAGTGCAATTTTTAGAAAGTTTCAATGAGAAATTATTAGACATCTGTCTTTCAGTCCTAATTGGGCTCCATCAGACTTCCTTTTGTATCCTAATCTGAAAAAACCTATAAAGGGCATCCATTTTCCTTCAGTTAATAATGTAAACAAGAATTCATTGACTTAGTTAAATTCCCAGGCCCCTCAGTTCTTTTGGGATGAACTAAATGTCTGGTATCATCACTTATAAAAAGTACCTTGACCATGATAAAATTTATGTTGAAAAATAAAGTTTATATATTTTTTTAAATGCCAAGAATCAATTTAAAAAATCCCAAGATATACAAAGAAATAGGAAAATGTGACCTATATTCCAAGGGGGAAAAGCAGTCAAAAGATATCCCAGTTATTGCATTCATCAAACAATTGCTTTAAAGCTGCTATTATAAACATATACAAAAACATAAAGTGGGATATGTGCACAATAGAAGGATATATTGAAAAAATTAAAACAGGTGAAAGTTTTCAGTTATAGAGTCCAATAACTAATTAAAAATTCATCTGATAGGCTTAAGTGCAAACTAAATATGGCATAAGAAGTGAAGTTGAACACAAATCAGTAAAAAAAAAAAAAATCTGAAAACCAGATTTGGTAGCGCATGCCTATAGTTCCAGCTACTTGGAAGGCTGAGGCAGAAGGATCACCAGAGCCCAGCAGGTCATCGCTGGGGTAGCAGCAAGTGTCCCCCTGCGCTTCAGCCTGGGCGACTGAGACTCTGACTCAAAAAAAAAAATATATATATATATATATACATATATATATATATATATATTTTTTAATATATATATATAAAACATCCCAGATTTTTGTGAATTACATTAACTTACAGATCCAATAAGCTGAGCAAACCACAGGCAGGATAAATACAAAGAAAACCACAAACAGATACCTCACAAACTGCTTAAATCTGGATAGAAAAAAAAAATAGCTTGTACCTCATATCTTTAAAATAAAAATATAAGTAAATAAAGAAATAAAGAGGGGCAACCCCTTTGGGTCCCCTCCCACTGTAGAAGCTTTTCTGTTCTCTCAATCAATCCTTTCAAAAAAAAAAAGAAAAAGGAAAATATATCCTGAAATCAGTTGGAGAAAAATAGCGTATTACACACATGTATAAAAAATACAAATGACAGATGAGTTTTTTGTTTGTTTGTTTCAGTTAGAGTCTCACTGTTGCCCAGTGCAGTGGAGTCTCACTGTCGCCCAGGCTGGTGTGCAGTGGCACACTCATGGCCACCCCAGCGTCAACCTG